AAAAAAAATTATATTGCTCTTTTTCGTTGAAGTATAAAAGTCCAGCTAATATAACGATTTAATTATAAATGTGATATATACTATTATATAAAATTTTATTTAATTAATTTTTTTATATAGAATATTATTTATTTTTGATAAACTGTTCATGTGTATAAAATTAATACTAGTATTATTTAATTACAATCTCTCTAATCTCTATTAACTTTATTCAAAACAACTCAATTTAATTTATTTTTATTTTTTTTGGTACAAGCCAAAGGCCTAGGCTAGGACTCGACGGGGGTACGACACCCCCACACAGTCATGATCGATCCAAGCTCCCATGCCAACAGGAGGAGCCACTACACGCTGCAATCCGATTAGGTATGAGGCCGCCCAATTCGCCATGTAATCCGCCGCAAAGTTCGCTTCCCAATGCAAACGTTTAACTCAAGTTCTAATTTTGATCGATTTTTACTGATTTTCACTCGCTACCAATCACCTCCTCGAAGTTTTAGCGTATTCGATTTTTCATTGAAATAATTTTTTAGACAACTCTAGACAAGTAAAATTGTTCCAAACCAAAATAAATAAATACACGACTACGTATTTATGATAAGTGTAAATTAAAACTATTTTTCCTAAATAGAATTTTATTTTATATTTATATAATAATATATACAACAGTACTAGATGATCCGGGTCGGACTTGGAGTTTCCCACGCCGACCCTACCCGTCCTCTATCCCCTTACAATTATGTCCCCATACCATATTTAATCAACTCTTTTTACCATAACCAAAACAAAAATACAAGGAAACTCGCATCCTTTTAATTCCTATTCCAACTCCAAATAACAATTGCTCTTAACATTAAATAAACAACTTTATCATAGTCTTACACAACTCCAAACAACATTGTCAAAATCAAAAACAAATTGACCTGTAACTGTTACATTCTTTTACCTTTTCATGGAGAGTTCAGCTTCTATAAGGCAAAACCCTGTTGAAGTCTTTCATGATGATCCTTATGAAAATAGCGTCACTAAATCTTTTCAAAACCTAGGATTGAGAGATCACAGTGCGGCCAATTCAAGTTCGTCTGTTCGGACACAATGGTTGTCTCCAAACTCTGTCTGTGATCGTCAAAGTATATGGGGTTATTGTTTTTTCACTCATGATGAAGGTAATATAAAAGAATTAGAGAACAATTTTGATGCTGTTTTTATTTTGATTTTTACGTGTTATGTTTGTTTTTGTAGGAGATGGCTTCGAAACGAGCAGGGGCTTCGGTTGGGATACGCGAAATCAGACTCACGAGCACGATCGTTTTGCAGCGGGCCCGCTTGCGCTCGGTTACCGATTCACGGGAATCGAAGACGATAGTTGGAGTGGAGAATGGTCCGGCTACGAATTCGACGCGTCGCGAATTCGAACCATTCTAAGAGGCGAACAATGCGAGCTGAAAGAGACGCTTATATGCTCTCTCCAAAGGTTCGTTTTCGCCCTAATGACCGACGAGAAGAAATTCTTCGTTTTTAAAATGCTCGTCGATGCATGCAACGGCTCGCACTTGGACTCGCTCGTGCACAGTATCTCGCTCGAGAGCGAACTTTTCGTCGAGGCCGCATTTCGTGAACAAGGGTGATTAATTATTCGATTTTATAATAAGTTTGAAATATGAAAATATTCATTCACTTATGGTTTGGCTAATCAATGAGTTGTTTGTTTTGTTATATTTTCGACAGAGTCAAATCGATAGGCAAACTTATCAACAAGGTCAAGAAATCGCGCCACGCTTTTATCTTGACTCAAATTCTTTCGACTCGGTTCTTTGATTTGATGACAGATAATACGGCAAGGAAAGTGATCCAACAATGCTTCATGCTTCTCGGTCACGAACAGAATGAGGTACAAAATTCTATAATTGTATCATATTTAGTAAATTTGATTTTCCTTTATTGTTATTACGATGTTTGTCACATCATGTAATAAATTATCTTTAGATACTCTATGAGAGAACAATAGTTCTTTGTCGCGAATTGGCCACGCACAAAATCGGGTGCAGATCGTTAAACGAATGCATCGACACAATCGCGGGAAGACAAAGATCAATACTTCTCAATGATATTGCAGATGCCTCGGAAGATCTGTCGATCGATCCATACGGGTACTAATAAATTAGTACAAACTTTAACTAACCGAATATAACTAACTCGAACCTATATTGTTGCGATTTTGATTTAATTTAATCTTTTTCGATAGGAATTACGTGGTGCAGAAAGTACTGGATCTGAAGAACAGTGATGTCACCTCTAGGATATTGTGTGTGCTAAGAGGAAAGCATATTGTATTAGCTCGAAACAAAGTCGGCTCGAATGTAGTTGAAAAATGCATGATGTGCTCGGAAGTTGGGTTGCTCGATGTGGTTAACGAACTGTTGAGTGATCCCAAAACACCCTTTCAACTCGCACAAGATCATTTCGGGAACTATGTAATTCAAAAAGCCTTGCTCAGGACAAAGGTAAACCGTATACTATTTTGATAAAATCATGTACCGATGATTTTAGACATGATCTCTTTAATCGATTTATCTATTTATTTTTCTTATATATATATATATATATTCAGGAATCTGATGATTTGAGAGAAATGTACAAGTCGATGGTGAAATTGCTCAAGCCTTACAAGAAAGAACTCGAACGAACGGCGGGTGGAAGGAATGTGATGAATCTTATTGTACGAGACGAGGGCTCTCGCAGCACGGTCTGTAGGAACACTGTCGAGAATCGAGATTTTTTCGCTTGTAAAAAGAGATTATAACCTTTAGTGTGTTGTGTTTGTGTGTAGCTGATCAAAAGCTTCTTACTGCAGCTTGATTTTTGGTGACTTTGTTTTGTAGGCCTTAGAAGCTGTTTTGGATATTTCTAATTTGGCATGTTTAGTATTTCAAATCATGGAAATATTTGCAGAAGGTCTCAGTTTTGTTACTATTGTTGTTCATCAAGCTATAGCTTCTCCAAAAAAAAAAAAAAAAAAAA